CACACACACACACACGCACACACACACGCACACACACACGCACACACACACACACACACGCACACTCTCTCTCACTCATCCCCGACCCCCAGGGAGACCTATACTTTCCTGATGTGTGGCGTGGCTGTGCTGTTGGTCCTCGGAATATGGGCATCGGGGCAGCCTGCCAGACCAGACAGGTGTGTGCGTGGGAGGGGGCATGTCCCTACCATCAGTGGGTGGAAAACGTCAACTAGTGGGGTTTTCACAGGGGAGGAGGACCATGTTGGCATCAAGCGCTGCGCTGCCGCGCGATCTGGAGTGTGCCGTCTCAGCATAAGAATTTCCATAAGCCTTTGCAACGGGCCTGACCGGGAACTGGTGGGACATCCCTCGCTGTTGCTGGTTTATGCATGATAGCTCAGGAGGTGCTGGGGTTCGAGCAGCCAAAGAATTGCTCACGTGGGCTTGGGCGCTCATGCCGGGCTCGGTCACTCATGCCGGCACACCGGCGCACAGCACCAGCTGCAGCGCCCACGCACTCCCTGCTTTTCTGGCGGTCAGGTAGCCCAGCCCCTCGCCGCCAGCCTGGAGCCCACCTCACTCACTACATCATACAAGCGCCTGTCCTCCCCACCTCGGCTCCCGCGCTCATGCACTCATCCGTTCCCCGTTTGTTGCCCTACCGTTGTGCTGCGCAGCATCATGGCCACCGCATCCTGGCGAGCCGCATTATTCAGCGGCCAGGGCGGGGACGCGCCACCGCTGCCACCACTGCCACCACCGCCAGCGCCGCCGCCTCCGCTGCCGCCGCTGCCGCCCGCGTCGCCCCCACCACCCCCACCGACGTCGCAGCCGCCGCCGCCCCCGCCGTCGCCGCCTGCGTCGTCCCCGCCGCCCCCGCCGACGCCGCCGTCGCCGCCGTTGCCGCCGCCACCAACAGCGGCCCCTGCGCCGCCGCCTGTGCCAGCCAGCGCGGGCAGCAACAGCAGCGGCACCAGCCAGCCCACCTTGGCAGCCGCCAACTCCACCACGAGCGGCAGCGGCGGCAACGGCAGCGAGCCGATTGAATCGCTGCATCAGCAGCACGCCCCGGCGTCCGAGACTGGCGGTGGGCAATCCCCTAGCCCAGGC